ACTCCCTATAAGCTGTCTGAGAGTCACTTTTCGCTAAAATTGATGGTTTTCCCTGCAAAGTGAAAAAACTGTTTTCCTCACTTATTTGTTTAAATAGAAAAGTTAGCTAATAAAAGTTTTTGACTCACGAGACGAGAGATGTCTTGTATTATGTTCCTTTAGACAATTTTACAATAATCTAGCGGATAGGACTTTTTTCGAGTAAAAAATTAATTTACTTGGTCTATTTGTAAAAATGCTACAATGGTGTCATACAGCGGATTCGCTAATCCAGTTAGCTCTCTATACTGACTTAGGTATGCAACAAGATATACTTCAAATAAAGCTTCAACTGTAACGAGCATACCTAATATCGAGCCTAATATACAGTGAATTTATAAATGCCCGAATCCCACGTGACCGCGACTGATAGGAAACCAAACTTACAGTGGAGTCAATAATTAACACAAAATTCCCCAAAGATATATGATAGTCCAGTGGAGTACATATTACATTTCTTTACAAACATTATAGGTCTGCAAAATGTACTTATTTTTTTAATATAATAATTCTTTACACTTACAGAGTAATCATACTCCTCTAAGATATTTTGAATTTTTATCCCATTCAATATTGAAAAAGTATTTTTTGGTTGAGGAGGGCTGTCCTTTAAAAAATATAGGCTTCTTTGTATCTACTCTCATTCAGTGATAAAGAAAATAATGTGAATAAAATACAAAACATTTAAATGTTTTACTAACTTTTTAAAAACTATTACGAACGTCTCTGGATTGACATGTCACCTAGGGTCCTAGTTGGTGATTTTTCCTTGATAATTTCTGAGACACCAACTTAAGAAAATCAAATTTGATCGCCAAAATAAATTTGGTCACGTGGGACTCGGGCATTTATAAAGGCGCTGCAGTCTTAGTATATACATTTTGAATCAAGAGATGACAATGCCGCCTTCTTCCATGAGTGGACAATATTAATTGTTTAGTAGAGACAAAATTTTAATTAAAGAAATAAATAGTGTTGGAAATGAACATAGGAAATGTTTTGAAATATTAAAATAGGTATATGTATATTGTGAAGAGATACAAAGCAATGCTTTGTGGCAGTAGGTAACACATTTTGTAGATTATATCTCACTTACATTCAACTCCAAGAATACTTTACTACCGCATTCATACAGAATATGACATTCGTTAAGGGCCCTCATTTTATTTCAGTTTTTTTAATATTATTTGTAAAAAATGCTCAGTTAATTACTAAGAAAGTAGGCGCAAATGTAATAAGTGCATTGCGTTAAGGAATTTGACGATCTCATCACTAGAGATGGAAATAATTGCATCGTCAAAGTCTTCAGAATGTTTTTCATACATACTTAGAAAATACTTTTTTTTGTGATCTTTCCTCGAAGTAGATATTTAAAAAAACTTTTAGAGAAAGAAAGTACGAAAGTAGTTTTTTCAAATTTATTGATTACATTAAGTACTAATTAATTAATTAGACTTACTCTTTTTGAGAAAATTTCCAATTACACAGTCCAGTTACAAACATATACAACTTAAGTACGATGCCTTCATAAAGGAATAGAAGCCACATGATCAGTAATTTTGTTCGGAACAGTACATGTTGGCAACTAAAATTCGGAAAAATTAAAAATTATTAAAACAATAAGATCAAGATTACATTAAAACACAATATTCTATTTCATCAGTTGTGATTGGTGTCATTTTTCACGAAATTCTATTAAACCAATCAGCGATCGCATTGCCTCGAGCGTAGGCACAACAGTTTGTTACTGTTCACTGTAAACGATTCATTAGAGAATATTGGTGACGTCAAGATTTAGGGATTTTTCGTTAGCAGTACCAATCGTGCAATGTTGGGTTGCATAAGGTTGGCGGTCATATGGCTTGTAAACATTTATGAAGGTTCTGTAGATACTACAAAATTATTTTAATAAATATTTAATTCAATACTGTGTTCTATTAAGATTAGGGTCCATGAGTTTTCTACTAAAATTAGTAGATTTAGATGAGATTTCTTCGTTTTCTTAATACAGGGAGATTCACAAAAGATGATCAAATATATAACCTCGTATTCTTCGTAAATACTAATAAGTGAAATAATTTGGAATTGGGCACATGTTTTTATGTACACATTGTCCAAAATCTTACGGCTTTTCCTAAAATATCATGGTTGGTGCCGTAAAGCAGTAGCGTACTATTTTATTTAGAAAAATATGCCACCGCCACTGGAGCATATAAATTGTAGGAGAAGGCCTCAGATTTTGGACAATATGTACATAAATACATGTGCCAATTTTCAAATTATTTCACTTGCTAGTTTTTAAATTATTTAAAAAAATTAAAAATATTTTTTGAATATACCCTGTATCTTTTTAACGAAGTGTCCTAGACAAAAACCTTATAGGAAAGACTCCCCTTAAAATTACCAAAGAAAACAAGGTTTCATTCTTGGTCACTATTTGTGAATCACCCTGTAATATATACAAGTTTCATTAGAGATATTAAAAATATTTTGAATATTAGGTGAGAAATAATGAAAATGATGATGGAATCAGTTAAAATAAATATTTTCATGCTGTGATGTACAGGATGTTGCAAAAGTCCAGCTACAAAATTCTACAGGTGTTTGACAAAAAAATAAGAAAAAAAATAAATTTTTTTGTTTTTATTATTTATTCTCTTTATTCGTTGTCTAATAGAAAAATTGATAACAGTGAGGAAGTTCATTCGTAGATATAAGGAGTATAGTAACGAGTTTTGTGGGGTAAATTACCTCGTGATGTAACATAACCTCAAATACAGCGAAAAATCGCGTTTTTGAACTTTTAGGTTAGGATATCTCGAAAATTTGACGTTATGTAGCAATTCTGAGATTGGATTCATATTCAACTCGTCCAAAACTTTCAAAATAGGTATAATCTGATTTCTGGTCCAAAATTTTGTCGGCCTGTGAATTAATTTTAAGTCAGTTCTGCGTAATATTTTTTTTTGTAACATTTAACATCCTGCATCTTCGCATATTGCTTCGATCTTCAAAAAACTGTCGAATGTATCGCATTTGAATGAATAATTTCCAAAAATCATGTACAACAAATGAAAATAATAAAAAAAACAATAAATCTTTATCATCCTGTATCTCCCAAATGATGCTTCTTTGATTTTACATCTCATGAACTGTTTTCTTATTTTTTATCAGAGTGGAGACCTGCAGAATTTTGTCTTCAGAGCAACACCAAAATTCATTCTTACACAATTCGAAAGAGGAGCGAAATTTTATTAATGAATCTTAAAGATGCCATTCACTTCCTTATACACCAAAAAACAACTAAACTAGTGGAAAACTCGCTTGCGTAGCTATCCCGCAGTGGTTGCCGACGTCCTTGATCATCTTGATGTAACCCCCGATGCCCCACTCGGAACCGTAGGAGTTCTTCACCAACCAGTACTTCTGACCGTTCGGTTCGACGCCGTACCCGACTATCAAGACGGCGTGGTTCATTTCCTCTGGTTTGCTTCCGCACTCCGGATCGTAATAGACCCCGTCCGAGTAGAACTGGAGGGTGTCGCGGCTAGCGTCGATGGCCGCCGTCACGGGGCCCAGAGTCGCCACAGCGATCTCCAGGCCCTTTTCGTCACCCTGGGCGATGTCCACGAAACCTTGAAAATGGATAATTTGGAGGTTAGAAGGGTGAAGGAAGCTTAAAAGCTGCTACAACGTCCGTCAAAAATTTTGCGGTATAAGGGAAACATTGTTATAACTGGAACTTGAAAACATTTACCAATTGTTTTTCCCCCGGGTATACCGAATGTTGTGTCATTTCCTAATCAAATTGTCCAGACTTACCAGTCGTTGTGGCTACAGCGGCATCTCTCCTGAACCTGCACTTGTTCTCAGTTCCCTCCAATGGATAAGACTCTTCACCGTCAACTCCTTTGTTATCTTTAATGTACTGGAACGCTGGATCCATTAAACCCCCTTCGCAACCTTCGTTTCCGTAAGGCCTTGTACAGTCTAGTAAATTTTGAACGCTGATTTCTGTCAGTTTGCCGGTCTTCCTAAACTGCTGCCCTTCTAATGCACCTGCCTGTAACAGAATAATAAAGTTTGTACGTATACAAATAACAATGACATTTAACCAGCATCTGGTTTGGAGGTATTCTCCAATTTATAGAACTTTTCAGTGATCAGAAATACCTCAAAGCAGAGATAGGAAAATAATCTTAATCGGTCAGGTAAGATAGGAAAAGGGCTACAATTCCTCGTACTTCCAATACAGAGGGCAACAGTGAAGATGTTGTGCAAAACCGTACTTATCGTATCAACTTCGACGTCACCTGTTACATGGGTGTTGCACAATAATGAAAACGTAATATTAACAGTTGGTAGAAGGAAGCGCAAAAAAGCAAACGCCTATGTGGGGAATTCTGGAAGGAAGCCTAAACAGTTGAAGTGAGAACAGTGTGGAGATGGGTAATAAGACGATCGGCGGGCAGTGTGGCAAAATAGTGAAAAATTAAAAGTGTTTAACCGATATTAGTTAGCAGGTAATTATTCTCTAAGTACTTTGTTGTTAATTGTTCTATGTAATCTTATGATTGTGATGATTATAGACGTTTCATGATAATAATTCTGTATATGTTTAGCCTTCATTGTCTTATGCTCAGGGGCGTATATTTTTGTAAGGTAAAATTGTTACAATTATTATTAACGATTGCTCATTATTTATTACATGTTAAAATGTATATATATATTGTCGTGACTGCCCAGATATTGCAAAAACAACTCCTTTGTTTCACATTTAACTTGTTTTATCATGATTACGTTGTTCTTTGATTTCTTGTGCTCACTTTATTTCATACGCACATAAGAGCCTTGTGGAATTTACTAACATTTTCGCCCGTGAGGAACGAATCTGAAAAAAAAGAATAATTAAATACAAAAAAAGAATTGCTAAAACAGATCTTCCGAAATCTCAACTATAGCTGGATTGCCTCCCGACTGAACTCCAGTACCTTCCGGCCCTGCCGGCTAACTGACATCAAACCTCTTCAGTTTTACTTGGAAGTGTATATGTCTAATCCAAGTGAGGTGACATTTAGTGACACATTAAATGAGTCAGGTCTTAATTATCATTAGCAAAGGATTCTAATTTATGCCTTTGGTTAGCGATATTTGGGTAGTTAGAGCAACGATCGTGGGTTTCTCTGCCATGCTCTTTCCTCACAGGAGCTCTAGGTGAGGTTGGCACTCTCATTTTATGTTAAATGGCTGTTAATGTTTTTGTTGTTCATTCTATTTGTCACATGTTTTATTTGAAGACTGTTGTACGTAAATACCAAAGTTAGGTGTATTTACTCTGCTTTTGTTTTATAAAATTAAACCATACTTCCCCTCTTTAAAGTTAGTAGCCAGCGCCTTCCGGCCAATAAAAAAATAGATGTATACAACGTAGGGATTCCTTATGACGATCACATATTTCTGGCCACAACTACGTTTATATATTTTTTAAAGCCATTAAAATAAATAATTTTAGGAAAAAAAGTACCGTGCTTTTCCTAACTTTTGAAATCATCTACTTACCGCTGCATAGGCCCAACATCCGGCACACATCTGTTGATTTTTGACCGATGAGACAGCTCCAAGCTGCCTCCAGTCGATGCTTTCAGGGAACGGTACATTTGCGCTGGGAATAAAAGTAGAGGAGGTGTCTACGGCGGCGGTTTGCTGTGAAACCGTCGACCTGTTAAAACCGTTTACATTGGCATTGAACTCGTGAGACAGCATGTCACCGAAAGCGTTGATTCTCTGCACGAAGTTCTTATGGCCTTGGCTGAAGTCTTGGTTAAATCGAGCGATTTTCGCTCTGTTTTCGATGAATATCTCCTTCCGCAGCTTCTCTACTTCTTCTGTTGCGTAGACTTTACGAAATGCCAACTGAAATGGTAAGTAGGTGCATGAATATTACTCTGGTTAATAGATTAATAAGGTCATGCAGTGTATTTCCTTAATAATACTTATTACAGTGTCTACAGAAATGGTGTGTACAAATTCTCGACAGTCCCTATCCAGTTTTCTATCGTACCTTGAATTCTTTCCATTCTTCTTCCACCAACTCATCCGGGGTAATTTTCTGAGGCACCAGATGTTGTTCTAGCTGAAACGTGGGTATCAGGAGGTTTTGCTGGTGAGATTGGGCGTGACTTTGACTTTGTGCGTGAGCCTCAGCGTGTGCTTGGGCGTGGGCTGTTGAGTACAACCTCTGTGGAACTTGACCCGTGAACTGCAGCTGTGGTGGGACGAAGTGATGTTGACCAGCTTCCGTTCTGAGGAAGAGGCTTACCAGAAGTATCAGAAAAGCCGCCATATCGCCTGAAACATAAAAATTTCTGATAGAAACACGTTCATTATGGAAAAATGAGCGGAAGGATGGAAGACATGGTAGGAGCGTACAGAGAAAAGAAGAGCGCATTTTTAAATTGGTTTTGTTGCGGGAACTAACTACTGTGCGGACTAATGACCCGACCAACTGGAATACGAATACACGAGCGACATCTTTTGGATCGAGTTTAAAGAAGAAGAAACTCAATTTCAAATTTAATTTCCTATACGGCAAATTTAACGTTAGGTCGTCACAGCATGCTTGGACTAAATGCAAATAAAAATATGCTGTCTCTACTCTTCTTCTGACTGTGTCTGAACTTATTCTTTCAGTTAGAATAACTAAATACGCTATACTGACCATTTTCTATTCCTTATAATTACTTTAGACAAACACCAACACGAAATTCAACCGCGATAACATAATTAAAACATTTCTGCGTTACAAAGATTATTTTTGAAGTAATTTAATATCTAAGTAAAATATAGCGGTATTTAGAATCATTGTGTACGCTAGTGCACATGCCGAAACTTTCTTTTTAAGTCCTAAATACACGATTCTCTTTGACAAGAGTTACTCGTGATGTTGACGTTGATGTACATAACGAATTGCTCAACAATAAAATTCCTGTAAAACCTACCGAAGATGCTAATTACATCAGAAAAATCTTGTACACATCTGGCTAATGATTAAAAGCTTCAATTACTACAGATCGCAATTTATGTCACGACTTTCCAAATAATAAATGGAAGATTGATGGGTCTATTTTCAAATACTTTTGATATCTAATAATGTACATTTATAACCATTTGGAAATTCAATTCTTAGGTTGTCTTATAATATAATACAATTGAGCAAGCGAACACACTCTTTTAAAATATTATTTGACTTTAAACATAGACCAAAAATATGTTTTCCACTAATGATAGAAATATTTAGCCCGTAAAATATTCATAATCATCTATCTCTTCAAGAAATCTTTCACAATAGACGGAACTCAAGGTAAAAATATTGTAACAAATACATGAAAATTTTTATTCGGTGAGTCAGCACTACATTGTGGTTTTGACCTCTGTTTATTATATAATGGAAGCAGCCAAATAAAAATTAAACGTGAGGACACGAAAAAACGTAAACCATGTCTAACTCTAAGGAAGATCAAAGCATTTTCTAAGAAGTATTAAATTCAGTTGGTAACACATCAAAAAATAACAATATACTTAATTATATACCACGAATTGTTCCAATTCGCTAGATTTGACAAGAATTGTGTGAAGAAACTAGTTCTGTAAAATAATCAGTATCAGTAGGTACATAAATATTTAATTTTTTCAGCATACATTTGAGATACAAATAAATACCTTGAAAATGTCTGCATTCCATCACAGACAAATTAAAAAGGAATATTTTAAAATATTTGGCAATTATTATTATTATTTTGTCTTAACACTCAATGAACTTGAACTTCTTAACTATAGTTTACATCCAAAAACGTACTACTATTAAAAATAAACCCCCTTTGATGTAGAAGTGATCATGTACGAGTATTACGAAAATATTAATTGACGTTAAAACGTCAATTATTATTAATTATTTTTGTTTAATAAGTATTGTAAATAATATTACCGTAATAACAATATAAATAAATCAGTGACCAACATGCGTGACTAGGATTTAATATTATATCATAACTCTCAATAAAAATGTAATAAAAGTTAATCAACTTCTAGAAAATCCCATGATACAGGACCTCGAGAAAAACAGATAGGTGTAGTGAAATAAAACTGTTAGCCAGACACGGTCCCAAGAAGTCAATTCATGTAAATGTTATTGTAAAAGTTTACATTGATAAAATTGGATCAAAGAAGGTTCAATGGCAGAATGGTCAGGTGGATCTGATTTGCTTCTCACAGAAGTATGATGTGTTGAAGCAAATCGGAAAATGGGATCTCTCAGCAGAAGCAGCGTTAGGATTGATAGAAAATTAAATTTTAAATTGAGTTTCTTGTTCTTTAAACTCGATCCAAAATGGCGAACATGGTTAAAAAAAATCTCAAAGTTTCAAAAAACGGTTTTTCTAAAATAACTAAAAAAATATAGCACGGATTGAAAAATTTTAAATGAGAATGTTGTAGGTTTTAAAAAGATCTATCGACTGATTTTTTGTAGGTAAGTATCGATTGCTTTGTTACTTTTCGAGATATATCGAAAAAACCGTTAAAAATCTTCTCTTTTCTCTTCTTCTATAACTCGTTTACATTTACGTTCCCATATTTGCTATTAACTGCAAGCATAGCCCGCGGCAAGCCAAAAAAGTACATTTTTGAAAATTTTAAAAATATTTATTTTTCGATATATCGATTTTTTGAAAAAAAGGCGCTCTCGAAAATTGGCTAGATCTTCTCAGCGGATAGACCAACAGTAACGATTTTCGGTTTATTAAAGAGTTATATTATCATGCTATTAAAAAATGTTATTTTATTAATTTTAAGAATCAAAAAATTACAGAAAATGTTGCACTTTTTTTGGGTATGTTTTTTTCAAATAACTATTTCAATTTTTATTTTATGAAAATGACTTAAAGAAAGAAACTGCTGACATTATTTCACGAATTTAAAAAAAAATGTTTTTCTACGACCTTCTGGAGCCGAGATAATTTTTTTATTTAAAAAAAATTTTAAGGACGCAATTAACATTTTACAGCTATGCGCTTGATAGAGGTTAATATTGAATACTTATATTTACAAAAAAAAATAGTAGGATATGTTTACTTGATTTTTAGTATTAGTAATTGAGTAATAAACAGAAGCGTGCAAGCGCCGAGTGTTTCAGTTAGACCGGACGGATAAGTAGGGGGAAGCGGCGCACGCTCGCTCTGAAAACTGATAACGTAGAGTCTAAATGTCTTACGCTTGCAAAATCTTTGATATCTCGGCTTCTAGACCACATACAAAAATTCTTTTGCACTTAATCTAGGGTAGCTAAACACGAATATTATAGTCATTTTCGCCTTAGAAGCAAAATAGTCCTTTTTTTGCTTCATTAATCATACTGACGTTGTACTTGTTGCTGGCTTTTTAACAATTACTTCATCATTTCAATAATTAATTAATTTTCGTGTAAAATAAGTTTAAAGAATTTAATTTATTTACAAAAAAAATTAATAATTATACAACTATGTATAAAATATTTATAAAATTATTACAATGAAAACTAACAAGTATCCTATATAGATAAAATTATTTATCGAATGAAATTCTTCTTTTCTTTGTCGGATTGTCTTTTGATTCATTTTCTTGTTCGTCGTCCATATCTTCGTGAAGAAGTATAATAAAAGAAAAAAATATATATAAGTTAAATAAAAACATTTTAAATAAAAAAATTACCTCGGCTCCAGAAGGTCGTAGAAAAACATTTTTTTTTAAATTCATGAAAAAATGTCTTTCTTTAAGTCATTTTCATAAAATAAAAATTGAAATAGCTATTTGAAAAAAACATACCCAAAAAAGTGCAACTTTTTCAGTAATTTTTTGATCCTTAACATTAATAAAATCGTCAACATTTTTTAAAAGCATGGTAATATAACTCTTTACGAAGAAAATAAACCGCAAATCGTTAGTGTAGGGCTATCCGCTGAGAAGATCTAGCCAATTTTCGAGAGCGCCTTTTTTCAAAAAATCGATCGAAAAATCTCGAAAAATTATTAATATTTTTAAATTTTTCAAAAATGTACTTTTTTGGCTTGCCGCGGGCTATGCTTGCAGTAAATAGCAAATATGGGAACGTAAATGTAAACGAGTTATAGAAGAAGAGAAAAGAGAAGATTTTTAACGGTTTTTTCGATATATCTCGAAAAGTGACAAAGCAATCGATACTTACAAAAAATCAGTCGATAGATCTTTTTAAATTCTACAACTTTCTCATTTAAAATTTTTCAATCGGTGCTATATTTTTTTAGTTATTTTAGAAAAACCGTTTTTTGCAACTTTGAGATTTTTTTTAACCATGTTCGCCATTTTGGATCGAGTTTAAAGAACAAGAAACTCAATTTAAAATTTAATTTTCTATCGATCCTAACGCTGCTTTTGCTGAGAGATCCCATTTTCCGATTTGCTTCAACACACCATACTTCTGTGAGAAGCAAATCAGATCCACCTGACCATTCTGCCAATGAACCTTCTTTGATCCAATTTTATCAATGGAAACTTTTACAATAACATTTACATGAATTGACTTCTTGGGACCGTGTCTGGCTAACAGTTTTATTTCAAAAAATAACAAAGCAATCGATACTTACAAAAAATCAGTCGATAGATCTTTTTAAATTCTACAACTTTCTCATTTAAAATTTTTCAATCGGTGCTATATTTTTTTAGTTATTTTAGAAAAACCATTTTTTGCAACTTTTCGATTTTTTTAACCATGTTCGCCATTTTGGATCGAGTTTAAAGAACAAGAAACTCAATTTAAAATTCAATTTTCTATACGGTCATATTTTTTCTGTCCAGGTAATAATTTCTGCAAATTTAACATTAATCCGTGACAGAATACTTGGACTATTATGCGGACATGAAGATGAGGATTCTGTACATATCCTCTGTCCTTGTGCTCTGGTAAAAATACACAAACGCCTGGGCGCAGCATTTTGTCACCTCTGAACGTAAGGGAGGTTCTATAGATTAATATACAGGGTGTTTATTAAATACTTGTACAAACTTTAAAGGGTGAATCTTTGACTAATTTTAAGATAAAAAGATCATATGAACATGAGTCCGCAACGGCTTGGTTCTTGAGAAACAAAGCGTTCAAAAAAATTTTTCTTTGGTATTTTGATTATATTTTTGTTCAATAACACGGCAATTTGACGAAATTCGGGAAACTGGGAGTATTGGTTTTTTTGTTGCAAAAAGAATTAACTTACCCTAGTAATGAGTTGTACCTTGAAGCCAAAGTCTTCAATGTAAGACAACTTTATTACTACAACTGTGTTTGTGGGTATCATTATACTGATAATAAGCATGATATGTCTCATAACTATGAAACCAGAAGAAAACAAAAATACTTATCTCCTTTAATGCAAGAAAATTTGGGCCAAAGATCACTACTATGTTTAGCACCTAAACTATATAACACTGTACCTGATTTCTTGAAAGTAGACCATCTATCAATGTATGCATTCAAGAGGAAAAAAATGTACATATTAGAAACTCCTCGAGAAATAATAAGTAAATATTTTTATTAATACAATTAATCCGATTGACTGATTCCGTAAACATACATACTTATTATTTCTCTGTATATTTATGAATTTCTTTCCTGTTTTGTTTTATTATTTTTATTTATTTATTTATTAAAACAGAAGCCTGACTTCTTAAAGAAGTCTTATTTAAAAATTATTATTTCTAATTTCATTTACAATGCCATTAAGCATAACTTCAAATTTTTGTATTTGTTTTTATTTATTCGTACTACTACAATAGCTGTTGTTTCTATCTTTATATATTTTCTTATGTTTAATAAGTAAATAGGTACTTAATTTTTTTCCAAAAAAGTTGGTCCATATCTGAAAAACGGTTGGTTTTCAGACCAAGGTTTTTTTTACTCATTTTTACCTAACCTGAAATATATCCCCTTAAAGCTTATGGCGGAACTGCAAATCTTTCTAATGGAAAAAAAATGAAATGTTATTGTTCTTTTGCGCGACAAATCTACATTTTAAAAGATACGAAAAAATATATTACGGTGGTTATGAAAAAGTGAGTTCAAGCAACATATTCTTTTTTACTCTCAATAACCAAAAGATCGTACTAAATTCGGTATTGATATTTCATCTGGTTCTGAAGTTTTATATCTTCGTAAGATTTAACTAGTATTAGAAATTTTTTGTGAGTTGTAACTCCCTGTAGACGTTTGGAAATCATTATTTCCGTCATTTAAAATATTTAGAACAATTAATTTAAAGTCATGATAATCAACATACTTTTCAGTTTATTGTCAAAGGTGTATATAGCCTACAAATAATTATTTAATCCGACAATGATCTGTTTAATTCTAAATTTAAAAATTAATCTATGAAAACTACGTTAATTGTCAAAATACTTAGTTAATGTCCCTAATCCCCTCATATTCCCATATTTGTTTTGAAAATGATTACACATTTTTTTGTTAGTAGCAGTAAATGGTACAAAATATTACAAACAATAAAAAATAAAAAGTACAGTATAAATTAATGAATTATTTCTTTTATATGTAGTATATTTTCAATCGTAAGGGTGTTGATAACAACTGAAAACTTTCAATTTTCAAAATTAACCTTTTTTTCTTTTTGAAATGCAAAAATAATGAAATAGTCAAGAGATTTAAAAAAATTTAAACTTAAAACAACTACTAATTAATGTCTGGAATCAAAACAAAAAAAATATCACAAACTTTACCGTGCCTCCAAAAGTTCCTTTTCTCCACTCGACTCACTAAAATTTCGCACCCGCACAACAAAACTAACTCGACCCAAATATTGTCCTTACCGGTGGTGTTGGTCTGGACCGCAGGATAATACTGAAGGTGTCCTCGACCACCGCGACATATTTTGTAGTTGACAAACAGTCCTTCCCCAAAGGCGGGCTGCTAGTTTTAAGTATCGGGGGTCCCATGTCGTTTCATTCAGATTAATATGCATATTTAGACGGAATCGCCTCCGAGACATACCGCAGAAACTTTTAATAAGCCGGTGAACGTATTAGAATATGAATAGTTTGATTTAAAGCATCGTTTTCAAGGTTAATTTTAGCAAATTTATAAAAAAAAAGTCGCAATCTAAACTAGACACGTGTTGTGCAAAGCATGCCCTTCTTGGTGCCGCTGAATTTGCAATTGTTGGTAACCGTGAATGAAAAATTAGATCGTTCGCGTATGATTGCAAACATTCTAACTACCTATACGATTTTAAAGATAAAGACAAGTTTTACTCTATAATTAGAATAGGGAATATTTCCTTTTTTTACTGCTATAACATTTCTTTTAAATAAACTGGAACAACTGTCGAGATATAATTAACAGTATGTAATTGTTAGATAGACTAAAAAGATCTATTTAAGGGGAAGCAATAACAAACTTTATTATAGCAATAAAATATGACGTAATACTTTCGCTATTAACAATGTGGTTAAATCTGAGATTTTCTTATATTCTATGAAGTTAATGTTCATATTGACTATAGAATATATACAGGATGGGTCAAGTATCGACTAGGTAGCGACTAGCGACCTAATGTTACCTAAAAAAAATACTGTCAGAATAACGATGTAAATAAATTATTAAATATTTGAGACTCGTCCTATTCTTGATCCAGGAATAACTGGTGAGCTGTGACTCAACGTTTACTTCATAAAATTTTCTTAAAAAATTGGTCTTTCCTATTCTTGTAACAAATCGATGATGATTCTTTAAAGATACCTGCCGAAAATGAGCTATTTATATGCAATTTATGACGGACTGCTATTGCTCGATCCTCTTAGATGGTTTTCCCAAAATAGTGAATCAATTTTTATGTATTTTACAGGCTAACGAATACTTTGTGTCCATAACATTGACTAACCATCTTTCTATTTCTATATTTTTCATATGCTACCAAAAGCACACTATTTTTTATCAATCAAACTGAAGGAAAAGTTATAAAAATATGAAATTGTTAATTTTTCCCTTTATTCTTTACATTTTACAGGCCACCCATTGTTAGATGGGATCTCGACTATCTTAAGAGATACAAGGGATATAAATTACAGGAATGTTGTGGAATTTGAGAAAAATTTTTTCGTTTTGTTCGAAATTATCGAAGAAAAACTAAGATAACTTCTTCGTTTTTATTTTTTAAATCGAAAACGGATAAAGATGATTTTTTTAAACTCGTACATTTTGAAGGCACCTTTTTGTAGTGATTTCAAATATACCTACAGTAGGATCGTATTCGATGCAAAGTAGAGCAAAAAGTTGTCGGTCTTTTATCAAAGGAAAATCGTGTCATTATTTTTAGGAGGAGTAAGATGAACTATTTCAAATTTAAAATGAAATTGAATGTAAAATTTGACATACCGCTGCATACGCACTGTGTTCTGATAGTAGCTGTAATCGCCCAGGTGCATCGAGTGTACGAAGTGGTCGGTTATACGTCAAATACTAACCTGACGAGCTTGTTCGGAAATCAGAGAGCGCCTCCAAAAAACAAGTAAACAACAGTGGCGCGTAAAGAGGTAAAATGTAGTACATATGTGGAATTTAAAAAACAAATTGGATTTATAATAAATTGCATTTAAAATAAATAGTTTATGAGAATAAAGGAATTTTTGTAGGAACAAGGGTGCCAGACGTGAACTGATCCCTTCGTCCCTTCATAATGTATAAAGAAATTATTCAATTTCTAAAACCCTTAAAAGCGTACTCCATTGGTTCCCTTGACAGGCAATGATTCTTTACATCGAATATGATCCTACTATAAAACATTTTTATAATTATGACATAATATGCTTTGTTTCTTTGTTTTCGTCGAATATCAAATTAATCACTATTTCCAAGAGTACTTTAAAAAAATAGCAAACAATTACATTATACGACATTTTGACAGTTCAGTGAAAGATTCATTGACAATGTCAAAATTTTTAGAAATAAAAATACAATTTTTGTGAGAAAAAAGCAGGATATGTTTCAAACTTATTGATTAATTAATTTTAAGACCATCTGGGATCGTTTCATGTGAAAAATGCATTTCTAATTATCTGAATTTGGACATTGTAGAAGAAAGTTTAAATGAACTGTCAAAACTTAGCTTAAAATAATAGTTGGATGTTTTGTTTTCAAAGCACCCTTTGTACAAATGAGGTATTTGAAGAAATCAAAAAAGTTAATCGTATATGATATATCATAGCAGTCAGAAAAATGCGTTGAATTCAAAAATGCGAAAACCGAATGTCGTCTTTCAGTCTTGGTAGTCGTCGCAAGTAATATGACTACACAAAAAAGTGTCCTAACCATGTCTGATTTTAAAAGTTCCGCCTCTTTCTGTTAATTCTCATTAATGAAATAAAAACGTAAATTTAAATATTCAGTTTTTGGCGATAACTCTTAAAAAAAATAAGTCAAATTTCTCTTCGGCAAGTTAATCGACCTTATACTGCATATCTTGGTCTTATCCCCACTAAGCTTGTATCTCTTAAGACAGCCGAGATCTCAAAAGCGCAACTCGAAAACGTGCACTTATATTTTGAAAGGGAAGAAATGAGAAAAGTAAACTAAATAACTGCTCTGCATATATAGACCGATCGAAATAACTCATTTATAGGAGAAAAAAAAAATTGTTACCTGGACTTTTATAAGTGGAAATGGTAAAGGGGCTTATAATAAACGTAACAAAAATAAATGCGTGAGCAGGGGTGGCGGAGGGTTGATTTGGGGGGTTGAAAAGTGGTGAAAAATGGTATCATTGAGATTTCTGGCGAAAATTGATGTCAAACAAAAAAGTATCCAATACAAAAGTTATAGATCATGAAAAAATCTACAACTCTTGTAGAGGGCACTTTTGAAGATAACATCAAAATTTCCGAGAAAAATGCGAAAAACAGGTTTTTTTTTCGTTTTTTATTTCTCATTTCCGCAAAAATAATTTAATTTTGACGAAACTTGGTGAAAGTATACTTTGCTGTGTCTTAAATAACCACAATTTTTTTTAGATAAAAAAATCAAGAAGTTTCCGAGATATTCATATTTTCCGGTCTGAAACACTTTTTTTTCAAAGAAAAATTCTACTTAAAAAAATCATCGTACAGAGTTCTGCCGGTAATCATTTTTTTCGTTTTGACATATACTTTTTGGTGAAATAAAAAAAATTGGAATCGCAGTTCAAAAACATGCTCAAAAATGCAAAAAAGAAAAATGACTCTTGCAGAAATGAATTTTTCAGTAATTATTGTTGATAGTTTGTTTAAATTTAAAGAAAATTCAAAAACTGATTACACCATTCGATTGTACGGAAAAAATACAAAAGAAACTGTGTCTCATTGTTTGACCCGAAATTTTATTTTTGTACAGTATTGCTATAAACATAATATTTTTTTTTCGTAGGATCGATTAATGTACTTATTTTTTTTAACTTTGAATTGAATTCATAGATGTATAAGCGACTCTTTAATTAAATTATGTAAAATTCAGATTTTTGCTTTCAAAATTTAAAAAATATTTACAAAGGATATTTACAGTTAATAATACTAGGCGAATCTTGGTCTTTTTGGCAACTTTTTAAATTGATCTTCATCGTCCTATCCTTCATTAAACTGGGTTTCTTCCTGATCTTCAAACGTTTCTTCGATATCACTTAATTCTTCGGTTAATTGATCTTCCGGGTTCAAGCAAAGACTGGGCTGCTCGATTTCATTTGAAATGTCTTCGGAATCACTGAAATTTTCTGAAATTTTGTCAAGGTTCAAACAATTGTCCGAACCATGACATTTTGTACATAAATCTGTACATCGCAGTCCATGTTTTCGACACCCGCATCTATTACCGTCACAACTGGTTTCGCAGCTGCAAGAGATTGTTTTTATTAAATCTTCAGGAACGACTGAAACTTCTGTAAAGCGAGGCATGAGTATTTTGGAATTATTCGCAATTACTTCTTTCCAGCCCCACTTGGTTGCAGTTATTTTGTTTCCAAGCCACGTCTGAAGCTGAAAGTATGCTCTATAGGAGTGTTGTGTAGCTGCTCCGACAGTTGGTGGTAATTTTTCTAATTTAAAAGTAGACTTTGCAGTTAATACTTTGTATTGCTGAAATCTCAAATCATCCAGAGATAATTTATCATTTGTGCATTTGTAAATAGACGAAATTAATTTACAACCATTTCGAACAATGACTTTTGATTCTGCATTAGTCTCATAAAAAGGTTTTACCAACGGTAATAGATGCGGGTGTCGAAAACATGGAGTGCGATGTACAGATTTATGTACAAAATGTCATGGTTCGGACAATTGTTTGAACGTTGACAAAATTTCGGAAAATTTCAGTGATTCCGAAGACATTTCACATGAAATTGAGAAGCCCAGTCTTTGCTTGAACCCGGAAGATCAATTAAACGAAGAATTAAGTGATATCAAAGAAACGTTTGAAGAACAGGAAGACTGGGTTCTAATGAAGGATCGGACGATGAAGTTCAAGTTAAAAGGCTGCCAAAAAGACCAAGATTCGCCTAGTATTATTAACTGTAAATATCCTTTGTAAATATTTTTTAAATTTTGAAAGCAAAAATCTGAATTTTACATAATTTAATTAAAGAGTCGCTTATACATCTATGAATTCAATTCAAAGTTAAAAAAAATAAGTACATTAATCGATCCTACGAAAAAAAATATTATGTTTATAGCAATACTGTACAAAAATAAAATTTCGGGTCAAACAATGAGACACAGTTTCTTTTGTATTTTTTCCGTACAATCGAATGGTGTAATCAGTTTTTGAATTTTCTTTAAATTTAAACAAACTATCAACAATAATTACTGAAAAACTCATTTCTGCAAGAGTCATTTTTCTTTTTTGCATTTTTGAGCATGTTTTTGAACTGCGATTCCAATTTTTTTTATTTCACCAAAAAGTATATGTCAAAACGAAAAAAATGATTACCGGCAGAACTCTGTACGATGATTTTTTTAAGTAGAATTTTTCTTTGAAAAAAAAGTGTTTCAGACCGGAAAATATGAATATCTCGGAAACTTCTTGATTTTTTTATCTAAAAAAAATTGTGGTTATTTAAGACACAGGAAAGTATACTTTCACCAAGTTTCGTCAAAATTAAATTATTTTTGCGGAAATGAGAAATAAAAAACGAAAAAAAAGAAAAAAACCTGTTTTTCGCATTTTTCTCGGAAATTTTGAGGTTATCTTCAAAAGTGCCCTCTACAAGAGTTGTAGATTTTTTCATGATCTATAACTTTTGTATTGGATACTTTTTTGTTTGACATCAACTTTCGCCAGAAATCTCAATGATACCATTTTTCACCCCTCTTCAACCCCCCAAATCAACCCTCCGCCGCCCCTGCTCACGCATTTATTTTTTTTACGTTTATTATAAGCCCATTTACCATATCCACTTATAAAAGTCCAGGTAACAATTTTTTTTTTTCTCTAATTGTAATTTGGTTGGACTAATAGAAGTACCCAGGTTCCAGAACTGATCCCGGAAAAAGCGGTTTTCGTCTCTCGTAAAAATATGAAAAAGGATACCCCCTTTCCCCTTTCAGTCAAGCTCTAGTTATAATTGGATATTGGATTTGCATTTAACGTAACAGATTTTGTAAAACTTTTTAATAAAACTAAAAAAAAAAAAATATGAATGTGTTAAAATGTAAATAAAAATATCTCAACGTACGTATTTCGACTCAATAAAAACGCTGATATTATCAGTTTTTCTCTATATCCTGAAGTTTTATTGAAAATTATTAAAATAAAATTTTAAATTTAAACTTGTACATAGGAACAAATTATATCAAACTCTCGTACAATATTCTTTGAAAATTTGAGAAAATCTATAATTTGTTGGTAATAATTTCAAGATTGTAAAATTAATTCACAATGTAAAAGACTAATTTTCACCCAATTTGTTCCCTTCGCGATTTTAGAAACAATTGTGCGAATTTTCATGACAATGTTTTTTCCGCGTAGAAACAGCTATTTTTTTTCTGTTCACAATTATTTCAAAACTTTGTATTCTTTCCAGTTCGACCCTGCCATTCAGCGGTACATAGCGATGCAAGCTAGCCAGTTCGAATATTTCAAGCCCTCTCTCAAAAATGCCCTCTTTGGGATATTCGCTATGATCGTACCCATGGTGTCTTTTGGTTATCTCGTTCATAAGGATAGGAGTGAAATCGAACGTCGCCTTCGTGCTGGAGATGTCGACTATAAGGACCGCATCCGCAAGTTTATTTGAATTATGAATTACCTGTTTAGTTATTAATTTAATAATTATTCTAGAATAACGTATAAGAAAAAATATTTATTATTTTCTGGACACTATCAGATTTGTAATGTTTTAGAAACACTGTAATTAATATAACTGACAAACTATAATTGACAAATTGACTATTATCAAAATACTGCATAAAGAAAGAATACAGAATGTCAAAATTACTGATAAAGTCTTAGACTTCGAAAGTAAAGAAATACACAGGTCTTTTACAGTGAAGGTTAATGAAAAAATGTACACTGACTAATATAAAACGGTCCTAAAATGAAAGTAACATGATGTAGGTAATTGTATTGAACTGTGAATGAAAGGTATTTAAGATAGGTAGGTGCATACACCTTTTATTTTATTTATTTTTTTTAATATTTCTCTCTATCAAGGTTAGCGAAAAATAAATTAAAGTACTGCTGAGAAATAATAATAATTAATTAATAAATAATTACTTACTCAAATTACTTAGGGGCAAATAAAATCAATTCTGTCTAGGAAAAATGCCATTTTCATAGAATATATAAAAAAATGTGTTATGAAAAGTTAATCACTATTAAATATTTTTTGATTATATAAATTATTGCAAAATTAAAAATGATTGTCGTCAAATTTTAACGTAAACATAGTTTTTAAGTCTAAACCAATATCTAATAAATTTTTCTCCAATTTATTATATAAAAAACGATGTAAGATGCGAACATATAAAAAAGTCAGAGTACGTTCAAATTTGGAATACGCGAATAAATTTCAATTCTGAATATTTAATTTATTCAAATAGAAATATGTTACAAATTACTTTTAAGCGAGCAATCAAAATGCCTATTTCTTTTTTAGTGAACATCTGCGATTACATTTTGTATATCAAATTTTGGGAAAGAATTGGTTATTTCAATGTTTTTTAATTAGCATTACTAACATAATTTATTAATTCAGTTTTAAAGATAAAAGCATCTACTATTTCTAATCATTTTTAATAGATGTACTAACTTTTGTATATTTAAAATGACACAGAATTTTTTAATAAGAACAACTTTTTTCCGTAATATAAAAAGTAAAAGAGTATCAATTTTCAACTGGATTTTGTACTTCTTTTTTGCACGAAATGATCGAAAGCATAATATAACGGAATATATATGATATTTTAATGAAAATATTTATTGAAAAAAATTGGAATATGACCCTCTACACTTACTATACAATGACTCAAAAATATCATGTCGTGTTCAAATTTCGATTAGACCTAGACCTAGAAAACTACCTAGAACCTAGAAAATTTAATACCGCACAAAGTACACCAAATAAACTAAATAAAATAAAATTTAGGAAAGTTTAATTATCAGATCGTGAGTCTGTAGAACTAGAGATTTTACATATTGGAAAAAACAGAAAAACTTTCGTTTTTAGTTTTTTCCTTAGTAAAAAAATTGAAAGATATTTGAAACAAAAACAAACTTCCAGATATATTTTTGCTGGAATAAATAATGAATAAAAGTGCTAGACCAAATTGCAACATAAAAACAAATTAAAAAACTGAGCTTAAAAGGAGATATTCAGAGTAAAGTGACTAGAGCCCTTTATATCCTGGATAATACATAACAAATTTTCAATTTTTCCATTTTCTTTCCAATTTTTCTGCTCCCAATTTTTCCGGAAATTTTAGACTTTTGGTAGAGACCTATCGAAACTGGCCCCTTGGCCTGTCTGGCCAGCCCAGCGGCTATGGTAATACCCCTGGAACATTTTATTATTTGTGTGAATATTAATTAAAATTATAAAATAACCTTTATGTGAACGTAAAAGACTGGAATTTAATAAGACTTAAGCACGTACCAATGAAAAATTTGATTCTATTTAATAAAATGTCCCATCTTATCGAGAATATGTAGGTGGAGAAAAATGCACCTTTCTATTGGTAAAACCAATTATTCACTCCGATAATATCTTGGAACCCCTGTAGGATGTCCTTTAATACTCTAGTTAGCAGGCACATCCGCATCACTTTGTTTGTGGTTTAATCAGATGTCTTCTGAGAATATGACCTATATTTCCGATGGTATTTCATGGCCGTTTGTGTAACTTAAATAGATTAAAAGAATACATATTTTTTTACAAAAGGTTTGCCGCAGGAACTATACAAAAAATAACTGTGTTTAAAGATCGACTGGTACCTTCAATTTTCGGTATTATATTTTTTTAACCTATGTAGACATAATTTTCTAATTGTAAGTCACATTAACACACCACAGTATTAAAAAAAAAGTCGCGTCATGTATTAATGTTTACACAAGGGTAAATATTATAAACAGTACACGGTTGAATGTGAGAATTTCGAATTTGACCTCGGATTGCTCCAAGAACGAGAAGTTTTCGAGCCACGAGAATAAATTTGAAAAAAGGTTACACACTGACAAATTTTCAAGTAAAAAAAAGTGTTTCACATGTTAGTGTATGAAAATTTTCAAAAATAAATCCTGAAAACATTAGTGCCCAAGGTCCAAAAAAGGTCAAAGGAGTAGAACTTCTAAACCACGGTTAGACCAGAACGGATCTGTCGAAATATCCTACTTCTTGAATGTAAGAGGGGGCAAACTAATTTTTGCTAGAATACCCTCAGAACAATTCACACAATAAAAGTGTAGATCCCTAGATCTGGGCGAGGTCCGGAACATTTTCAAAATTGCAAAAATGTTTACAAAATTTAAAAAAATACCTATTATATCTAAGGTTTTTACTTATATCTTAGAACCTATGCATTTTGGAACAATATTGACGAGGAAAAAAGTTTTAGGATGGCCACAATAAATTTTTAAAGTTATCATTCTTTTTTTTATTTTTAGACAATTAGATTACATTTACAATTTGCAATTTAGTTTTTTTCAAAAATTATAATTTTAAAGTACTCGGCAACACAGATAAATTAGCGGAAAAGCTGTTGCTCTAATGGACCAATTTCGATCTTTTTTTTAATCCGATATCTCACGAGCCAAGGAATTCGAATATCGTAATGCCAACTGTCTAATTTGCACATATTTTGTTATAAAGTTTATTATTTATGTATTAAATATACTGTATATTTTACCGTATGCTATCGCATTTTTTCAATGAAAAATTTTGTTTACGTATATATTCAACACTGAATATGAATGTATTTATTAATGTAATTATTACTTTTTGTTTAAACAAAGTTGGCTCTGACACATTGGACGTAGGGAGCAGCTTATAGCGACCAACTTAACCTCATTTCTCAACGAGCTGTATAGCAGCTGTCAGTTTCAATAACGTTAATGACTATATAACTTTATTTTAAAGAATAATCGTGATAACAATAACAAACAATTAAAGGAGCTGCGGAAAGTGTCCCCCTCCTTGTTATAACAATAAATTAAAGCAGCTGCTGAAAGTGTCCCCCTCCTTGTTCCAAGCACTTTTCACACCTGTTCCTCAAAGAATTAAAGACATTTTCTAAGATGCTCGGGGTATTGTTAATTTCACGAATCTTGTCTATAAGTCGAGCCTGCAGATGGTTTAAATCAGGAATAGGCAGTTCAAAAATAGTGTTTTTAAGGTAAGGCCACAAAAAGAAATCACACGGCGTAATATCACATGACCTCGGTGGAAATTCATGTTCAGCATTGAGACTTATTAGTCGATTTTGGAAAACTTCCCTCAACATATTCATCGTCTCGCCTGCCGTATGTGCCCTTGCGCCATCTTGTTGAAAGTAAAAGTTTGTAATTTCGTTTTCTTCCAGCTGGTTAACAAAAGGAGCGATAATTTCTTCTCTATACCTTTGCGCAGTAAGAGTACCATTAAAAAAAATAGGTCCATAAATCCTCCTTCGATTGAGAGCACACCAAACTCCAATTTTTTGAGCGTGTAGAGGGCCCTCGACAAAAAAGTTATCTGGTTTTTCAGAAGACCACATTCTCATATTCTGTGAGTTTACGTAACCACTTAAATGAAACCAGGCTTCATCAGAAAAAAAGGTGATATTATGAAGTTCACCGTAGTTGTTTAAAAACCATTCACAAAATACAGCCCGTCGCGGAAAATCAACTTCATGAAGTTCTTGCTGACAAGTTAAACGATAGGAGAACAAACGCAAATCTTTTTTTAACACTGTGTGGCAGGTACCGACTGATACTCCCACCATTTGTGATAAAACACGTACAGAAGTTCTTGGCGCATTTTCCATTATTTGTTGGACATTTTCTTTTAATTCTTCAGTCCGCTTTTTAGGTCGGCCGCTTCCTTCTTTTCTTGTTACACTGCCCGTTTCACGAAAAACATTAACACAACGCTGAACTGCACTTTGAAAAATTTTGTACTCAACAACGCCGGGAAATTGATTTTGAAATTCTATGAAACATTCCTCAATAGAATACTTCCATATTCCATCAATCTTGCGTCCATTTCTAAAGTAGGACTCTATGATAAACACTTTTTGTTCTTGAGAAAATACCATTTTAAACGCTTTTTAAAACAAAAATATTCAAATTGATAGCGGCGATATAGCGCTTTGACAGATGACGTTTAAGTTCATTTGCTATACGCTACGCCCTACGTCCAAATTCTCAGAACCAACTTGACCATGTTTTTATTTGAACGCTCGTTACTTATTATACCTTACTTCTGGAGATTAACTCTTTGCCTTTGACCTACGACCATTGATCTTTGGCTCACACAAATAACGAATTTTTTACCTTTAAACAATGGCCCTGACCTTTGATCTTCCGTTATTGGCCTTCGACCTTCACGCCTGATCGTTGTCCTACATTGATCTTTTAACTATTGACTTTATGACTTATGACATTTAGCGTTCAAGTTTTGATAATCGCTGTTTGAATTTATTTTGAAACGGTATTGATGCACGGTAACGCATCTTGAAATTATTTTAACATTGGAAACGTTTAAAGTTTCAATGTGTGTTTGGCCGCTACCGCTGGGCGCAGGGATGATGCGATCGGCGTGAT